ATGTGATTTACTCTTGAATTCTTAAACACTTATGAACTTCTGTTAAACCACCAGACCTTTAATATACATATTTAATGCATTATGCTGTTGGTTACATTCTAAACGTACAGTACGTCATTACCGAATAATGGCATAGACGGTGATTTCTGAACAAATAAGGATTTTAATTCAACCAATATCTAGACATATAACGTATACGTTTGAAAAAGTTTTGTTGCACATAGGAACATCATATCAGACATATACAGACTGACCTCTAAACATTTTTTTCTATTTTGAACCATAGCTATTACCAAGCCCGTGAAGTAAACAACACCTCAAACAATTCAAATTAAAAAAAAAAAAAATTGTCCTTTAAGCAAGCAGCACACTCGCTTTAGTAGTAGGACGTTTCTGACCTGACAGATAGCTAGACTTGCACTACAGTTAACCGGTACTTAGCTTGCAAAACACTTTTCCGAAACTAAGTATGAACTATGATTACTGGATAAAGGTACGATGAATTATAACGGTATACTTTAAAACGTAGTGAGCTGACTCGACACCGTGGCCGGCGTAGCCGGGCACCCCCCTCGGAACCGCTGTGTACAGACATATAACATACTATGTTTAAACAAATTTTGTTTCACAAAGGCAAACCTTAACAGACATTTAGCTGACTGTCCTCTAGACATTTTTATCTGTTTTCAACTCATAAAGTTAAGCGGGATGACACCGGCCTATATTGATGACGTGGTCTATAATATTACAACTTTTACCAAAGACAATTTCCATTATACACTTTTTCCCAATGGCCAGCTTCTTATCAAGCCTCTTTAACTTTTTAAAATTTTAATTTAAACTTAATTTTAAACCTGTTACCTCCTCATAGACTGTAGCCTACAAACCTAGGATATTTTTAGTTGGCGGAGCGAAGCGACGGCGCCGAGCGAGCGAATGCTAAAACACTCGGAGACCTGCCGTCCTTATTAGTTTTCAATACGAATTCCGCCTGCTGATAAGGAACTGGACATTGGTAGTTCATAAAAATTGGTAAAAGTGGTAACAACCCAAGTAAGCAACACCGGACACTTGATATTTATTAACCGTCTAACTTCTAGACTATTCTTTTCAATTTAAAATTTAAAAAAATTACAGATACATAGCTAGACTTACTCTACACTTAATCAGTACTTGCCTTGCAAAATATTTGTCCATAACTAGGTATGAATTCTGATTACTAGATACAGCCTATAGGTACCATGAATTATGACGTCATTCCTTTAAGACGTATTGCGATGGCTCGACACCGTGGCCGGCGCAGCCGGGCACCCCCCTCGGAATCTGTGACCTCCCCGAAAATACTTTGCAGCGAGGGGACGTGAGCGTGCCCGGCGTAGCCGGGTACAGTACCGGGAATCTGTGACCTACCCGCCCGACTCGGGGGCCTGGGGGCGGAGCCCCCAGCTAGAGCGAAGCTCTAGTATTTAATAAAAACCCAATCATTAGTCGATGCAATCGCGAACGAGCTCATGTGGCATGTTCTATAGTATTATAGTAACGTACGTGTTCGGTGTTAATTTTTTTAGTGCAGATGAAGTTCACACTCCTAATTTGTATGAATATTTGATTTTATTTTGATTTGTGACTTTTTTAATAAAACTGACGGTCCGCACGGTCGATCACGTTTGAGTGGCTATAAGTATAAAAAAATCGCGGAAGAAAAAAAAATTAAACTAATTAACTTAGTGCAAAAAACCCCAAAAATAGATTTTTTTTTAAACCAAACATTATTTTAAATGAAGTTGACACTACACAAAAAACGCTCGCTAGTTGTTCAAACTCGGGTACCAGTACTACGGACATTACTTATATTCAAAACGTCACATCCTCAGAAAGTTTTTCAAATAATAATATTGAGAAAGATGATGTACCAATAGTCGATTTAATCAGCGAGGATCCTGCAGAATGGGTAATTAATGATTTGGCAATTGATCGCTTATTACTAAAAGAAATAAAACAAAATATTGACTATGATTTATCGTCAACAAAAGTAAAGTTTGGGAATAAAACGCGATACTTAAAAAAAAGTGTATTTTATCGGAAACTTTTAAATGGAGAACAACAGCTTCGAAAATGTTTTATTTATTCTCGTAGTAAAAATGCATTGTTTTGTATTCCCTGTCGAATGTTTGGAGGTTCTACCAAACTTGCTACAGAAGGTTTAACGGACTGGAGAAATGTTATTAAGGTTGTAAAACAACATGAAGTCTCTAACGAACATACTAACTGTCAAATAGTATTTTTACGTAGGAGTAATAATATTGGGAGAATAGATAGTGATCTCTGTGTTCAAATAAACAATGAAATAGATTATTGGAAAAATGTGTTGAAACGGGTTATTGCTGTTATAAAAAACTGGGAAGTCGCGGTTCCGTGGAAAAATTTGGAAGCCAAAATAATGGTAATTTTATGATGTGTTTGGAATTAATATCTGAATTTAACCCTTTTCTAAGCAATCATATAGTTCAACCCGGGTAGTGGCCATACATCTTACCTTTCTTCTACGACATGTGATGAAATAATTACATTAATGACAACACAAGTTAGTAATGTAATTATAAAAGAAATTAAAAGTGCAAAATATTTTTCGATTGTGATAGACTCAACTCCTGATATCAGCCACACAGACCAGTTAGCATACGTTATTCGTTACGTTAGAGACGACGGTTTTCCTGTCGAACGCTTCATGTGGTTTTTACCAAATGTTGGGCATAAGTCTGAAGCACTTGAAATGGTTGTAATGTCTTTTTTAACTAAAAATGATATTTATATAAACAACTGTAGAAGCCAGTCGTACGACAACGCCGCCAATATGTCTGGAATTTACTCGGGTTTACAGGCAAGGATAGTAAAAAAAAACCCTTACGCGTATTACGTACCATGTGCTGCTCACTCGCTAATCTTGGCTGGGACTTGTGTAGCTGAATACGTGAAAGAAGGGTTATCGTTTTTTAACACTATTCAACATATTTATTCTTTTTTTTCTGCATCTACTAAACGATGGGATATTTTAAATTCTAGCCTAACGCTCGGTAAGAAAGTTGTCAAAAGAGCAGACGGAACTCGGTGGTCTGCTTGGCATGAAGCTTGTGACAGCTTATATCAAAACTATGACGGTGTTATGAGAAGTTTAAGTTTATTAGAAGAAGATGATTTTGAAAAGGCGACGACGCGTTGTGAAGCAGCTGGCTTAAGACGTCAAACTTGACCGTTTTGAAACAGTTTTTATGACTGTATTTTGGAATGCAATTTTGGAGCGTTTTAATAGCACAAGTAAAGAGCTTCAAAAAGTAAACACAGATTTGGGAAAAGTAGTCGAACTTTATAAATCTTTAATTACCTTCATAACATCTATTCGAAATGATGAATGTTTTAATGAATATGTAATTTTGACAAAAAAAATAAAGAGTACGAGTTTGATAAAGTAAGGACTAAAAAACGCAAACTTCATGCAGGCGAGACAAGAGAAAATGAAGTCCATATGACTGGAAGTGATAAATTAAGAATAGAAACATATTTTACCATACTGGATCGTGTGAAGAGTGAAATTGAAAAGAGATGCGCTGCTTATATTAATACATTTGACAAATATGACTTTTTGACTAATTTAATACTACTTTCGCCTGAAGAAATAACTCAAAAAGCTAATAAGCTTCAAGAATTGTATAACGTTGATTTAGAAAAATCATTTGCTTGTGAATGTGTTCATTTTTGAGCATATCTTCAAAGTATAAATAAAAATATTGATGGAGTTAACGAGTTATCAATACTTTTACGCGGTAATAATTTATATACAGTTTTTCCTAACGTAGATATTGCTCTACGTATGCTTTTATGTATGGCAATAACTAACTGTTCAGCCGAGAGGTCTTTTTCTACGTTAAAACGCGTAAAAAATTGTTTGAGAGCAAGTATGGAAGGGGATAAACTAAACTCACTGAGTTTATTGACAATTGAAACAGAACTAGTGAACAAAATGGACTTCGATGTCATAGTAGATGATTATGCGACTCAAAAGTCGCGCAGAAAGCCGATGAGTACTAGGCACTAACTATTTCATTTTGAATATAATTTAAAAATTAATTATATAAGCATTTTTTACTACTATAATTTTTATCATTATGTTTTATATCATATTTTTTATAATTAAGTTTTTCATATGAATGTATGTATACATTTTTATAACAGCTGTACCGGGTGATTGGTTAACTATGGACCACTCAATATCTTAGAAGATATTAGACTTTTTTAATTATTTTTTTTTTGTACTATTATAGTTATTAGGTGGGACAAATTTAATGTATTTTTCAAAATGTTAACACCATCCCTTATGCGTTAAAACCATATCAACTTAAGATTTTTAAATGGTAACCCCCAATTTTTTTTTGATGATCGTGTTTATTTTTTTTTAATTTAATTTTAGGCGTAAAAACTAGCTAAATCGATTGAGTAGTTAACGAGCTACACAGTTTTAAAATTAAAGGGAGTGTAAAAAATAAATTAAATATCTTGGAGACGCTAACATATTAATGCGACTGCTCTCTGTTATTATTTATTGACAATTAACTTTGACAATAGCTATTGTAGCGTTTAAAAATCATAACCGTACCAAACACTATTTACTTTAGGTAAATAATTCACCGATAGTAAATAATAATGATAACCGCTATATCGACTGACAAATATACCACCACTACACACTTTTACATTTATTTTGTAAAATAGTAGGTATGTTTTATTTGTTATCAATATCTTGTGTATATTTTTCCAGCTTTTTGCAATTATTTGTTTTGGTTAATTTGACACATTTTGTTTATTCATGCGATTTGTACGTCTTAATTTCATAGTATATTATAATAATATAGTATCATAACTTACTAGAGTATAAATCTATGAACTTGTCGACATTTATTGTGTTTTAAATAATAACATTGATATTTAATATCCATAATCAATGTGAATACCAAGATGGAGTTATGCTCAAGTGACAAGTCTATAAAACCTTAAACCTTACTTATAAAATGTATGCACATCAAATATCAAAATTAAAGGTACTTATAATAATAATATGTTATTTAAAATAAATATTATTATAATTTGAATTATGCTTGATGATATTTTAATTAAAACTTTTATTTTTACAGTATTATGTCTTTGTTCTGAGAAACTTATAAATGTGTAGTTTTGTGTTTTAACATATTGGTATCTGAATTCAAAGAAAAAATATAAAATTTTTTATGAAAAAATTGAATCTTCAATCATCGTTTACTGAATCAATAATAGGTAAGATAATGTATTTATTGATATAGGTGTATTGTATGAGTACATTTTTTTATTAGAAAAATATAATTAATCTTTTTTTATTATTCATGAACATATAAAATGTTTTTACATAATACATTTTTTGAATTACTTATGTTTATCATACTTAATATGTTTAATTATAATGCGTTACTTAAAAATTAACGTTTAACTTAAAAATTATCATACTTGTATAATTATAAAAAATATATGTGTATACTGATATTTGTTGCTTAACCATATGATTATTTAAGTATCTAAGAAACTTATTTAATTTATTTTAATTATATGTTTCAGTATGTTCAATATTAATATGGACTATCTCAACTTAAATTGATATTTGTTATTGTCTACAACTACACTACTACCAACGTCAAATTTGGTGTATTATATTATTGTAGTCAATCAGTCTAAACTAATTCCAACAATACATTGTCGAATGTTGTGGTATTCAATTTTCAGTAAATTTATAGGTGTTTTATTTTAAGGTAAAATATATAAGATCATCAGCTTGCAATAATTTAGTTAATTTCCATGAATTCATCACTAACAATTTATTATTATTATTATTTTTTTTTTTTAGTTACTGTGGCACACTATTGCAGATAACGGTTTTCCATTAAGTCAGTAAGAAGAATAAGATGGATTCACAAGTTCAAATCAAATATTAGACAACTATATATATTTAGTTATTCAGCTAAAAATGTAATTCATAAAATAATTTAAAAGTACTTTATCATTTTAAAAGTGACATAAAGTTTTTAAACTCTAAGTATTTAAACACACATATACTTAACATATCTATAATTATTATACATTATTTATTAATTATTAATGATGAATTCTTTATTTAATATTAATTTAATCTAAAATGCTGCTGAGAATGTTAATATTTCTAAAATATGTTATTGTCTTAATCCAAATCTTGAAATTATTTTCATGATGGCATAGTTTTGGCATTAGCTATTACAGAATTTATTGACAATTTTCTAGTGGTTTACGATTAAGTTTTTATAAGTAATAAAGTAAATAAAATTATAAAACACAAAATAGAAAAAAAAAATGTTAACTATTGGATTAAGTGTAAAAAAGTAAATTGAATGAATATACTTATAAATATTTTTTAACTTAAATATGTAAATGGAGATGGATTTCTTCTAGTGGGAAATCATCAAACAAACTTTACTGCCCTAGGTAACTTCCTATAACTACATCACTATATACAGCAATATGTTTTACCTCTATTATTTACAAGTTAATTATAGATATGTTAATTTTATTTAGTCTTAGTTTTTTAATATGATTTAGCAAATAAAAATGTTTATTCGTATCTTATAAGCGTATTATTTATCTTGTTACTTGTTTTTTTATTTTACTATTATCATAATAAACATAACATAATATAGTATTTAAATGTTTGTTAGTAATATTATTATTGAATTTTAAGCTTATGACTGTTAAAAAAGCCGTACAAAAACAAAAAAAATTGTACTTAATCATTCACTCTAAATTTTTGCTTATACCTCGTACAACGAGAAAAACAACCATTTATTAAATAAGAAATATACTTTTACTGTTCATATGAACACATTAAAATAAGTAAGAATAGTCAATACTATGAAATATATACAGTATAGGCTTAAGGTGGTAATATAATAAAGAGTTAATAAATAAATACAGCTTTTAATAATTAAAAATACTGAACTAGGAATAGTTAAAATTGACGCGTTACAACTTTAAATTATAAAAATAAAAATTTATTTTAGTGCAAAAGTATTGGATGAACGTATTTCTTATGGAATCCTTTGTTATCTAAACATTTTAATAAACACAATAGATGCCTTATAAAGATGTTGTTTGACATCTTATGTACCTATCATAAACCAGTTCGAACAAAAATGCTAAAATAGTTTCTGTACATAATATGTACAGAAACTATTTTAGCATTTTTGTTCGAAGTTTAGTTTTTGTTTATTTCTGTATATATTCTGTACATATTATCTATTAACTGTATGTAATACAATATTATACTAAAAAAAAAAAATTGAATGTTATTTATTAAAGTTTTTTTAAAAATATTTTCACTAACAGAATTAATAATTTGACTAGTTAAGACACCAGTACAAGTAACACTTATTAAGACCAAGACGCTAAATATTTAAAGTAAAAACCAAGACACTAAATAACCATAATAATTAAAAAATTAGAATAATGAACTTTTTGATTAGTTTTCAAGTAGTCGTATTTTTATAATAATTTGTTCTGTTGATATTAATCTACACCACGATTTAAGATAATATTATATTTATATATTGGAAGTTAAACCAAAATTCTAAATTTTTATTTGACAATCAATGTTATATTTTTAGATCTCCTAGTTGGTTATTCATTTTTAAGAAATAATAACATATTACTATTACCTTGTACTAACACAATAAGAGGACATTTGTTAGCAGTTGAAATAGGATGTGGATTTGACAAAAATTTTTTTAAACTTCTAAAGAAGAAATTCTTAAATAAATCTGAGCAGCAAAAGCAAGGTGTAATTGTGTTAGATGAAGTATTTTTGAGGGAAAGTTTAAGTGTAAATAGCCGAACTTTGACTTATATGGGACTAGAAGATTTTGGTGGTGAAGTAAATATTGAGGGTTCCAATAAAGCAAATCATGCATTGGTCTTAATGTGGCAAAGTCTAGCAGAAAATGTAGCACAGCCTATTGCTGTATTTGCCTCACATGGAACAGTCAAAGGTTAACTATTTATCTATTCTTTATGCTAAATTTAAAATTAAGTTAATAAACTAAATCAATTTTTCTCATTTTCAAAGAAATGCTTTTGAAAAAAAAAGTTATTGGTTGTAGAACTACTGAATACTTGGCTACAAGAAAAAGTTTCTATAAATGCTGAAGTAGTATTGTATTTTTTTTTTTATGAAGGTGTTGATTTAGCGAAGCTTATACTAAAAGCTATAATGTTAATGGAGGATTCTGGAGGGCAAGTTATTGGTCTTACATGTGACGGTGTTCTACGAATAGGACAATGTGGAACCAATTAGGGGTATTATAAAATTAACATTTATATAATGCAATGTACTATATTTTTAATATCACTTTTTATTACTTTTATTTAAAACCATTAGATAAGTGCCAAATCAGAGTCCTTTAAAAACTATTTTGTTAATCCATTTGATAGCACAATAAAAATATTTGTTTTCTCCGATGCCCCGCATCTTATAAAAACAATTCGAAATCGTATATATGAGAAGAAAACACTAAGAGTATGTAATCATATAACATGTTTCAAAGGTTAAATATATCCATTAATACTGAAATTCTTAGATTCACCCTAATAATGCCATTATTAAGTGGGAACACTACCACAGTATTTTTAAAATTGAGGAACATTCACTCCTAAAAGTTTGCCCAAAACTAACAAAAAACCATTTTGAGTTAAATAACTTAAGTAAAATGAAAGTAAAATATGCTGCTCAGGTAATATTGTCTGTTTTGTGTTATATATATAAAATACATAGAATATTAATTATATTTCAGTTGTTTAGTATGTCTGTGGCCAATGGAATGGAATTTTATAAAAAGAAAAAGTATGATTGCTTCAATGATTCAGAAGACACCATCAAATTTACCATTGTAGTAAATAATATGTTTGATGCCTTAAACAGAAAATTTCCTGCTGAAGGAATACGAGAGAATAGCAAAGACTTAGAGGTTTTTATTATGTGTTGTGTGTTTCAATTGTCTTTTTGGGAACTGGATGCATGTGTTATACTGGTTTATTTTTAATTGTATAAATATCCATTAAAAAATGTTTACTTTATTTATTAAACTTCAGGTGTTAAAACAAACGTTAGAGTGGATTAAGTGTTGGGAATTTAATTTGACAAAGAATTTAATTGAAAAAGATAATTTTTTAACACAAAATACTGCTGATGGTTTAAAAATAACAATAGCCTCAACAATAGATGCAGTTAATTACTTACTTAAAAAAAAACATTTTTCTTATGTACTGACATCAAAATTTAATCAAGATTGTTTGGAAGTAATGTTACTTAATTTTACTAAATTTCACATTTTAAAATATAGTATCTATGAAATCATTTTAAATTATTACAACAAATAAATAATATTATATTTCAGAAATTTTTCGGAATAGTGAGACAAGTAGCTGGTCCAAATGACCACCCATCATGTCCATCATTTCTTCAATTATACAGAATGCTTTCACTTTACTCTTTAATAAAACCTCCAAAAAGTGGAAACTGTATGATTTTTGAAGGTAATGTAAAATATTGCATGATACTTAAAAGTGAAAAATTAAAAAAATATTTATTTTAGATAATACTCCTATTATTACGTTAGAAGATTTGAGAGATGTAAAAAATTTAAATGATAGCTCATCCGTTAGATCTGAAAAAATCGAAAAGCTAAAAGAAAAGCTGAATAACAACTGAAGAACGATGTTGGGATGTAGATGAAATTTTTATAGAGCACAACTATTCTGACTCTTCCGTATTTGATTGCATAGTATATTATTTAGCTGGGTTAGTTTGTAAACATTTTATCATTATAACAAGGAATTAATTAGGCAATTACTTTAAATTGTATTAATTTCATTTCATTTATTTTTTGTAATAGATACATGCCAAACGCATGACAGTTAAAACTAAATGTCAATTATGTGCTTCTAGTATAAAAAATCTTAACACAACTGAATATGATACTAATGCTGATTTAATAATTGCAAAAAGTAGAGGATACCTAACACATCCTAATAGTATTATTTATAAAATTATAAAAACTCTGGAGTTGTCAATATCACAATTTATCAATTCTCCAAATGCATTTGAGGAGATTTGCGAGGACTTTTTGAAACAAAAAATTATCTTTGACTTTCCATGTGCAGCACACAAACAAAATGTTTTGACTGATATATGTACACATTATATTATAATGAGAATGCGCCAGTACACATTTATTAATAACCAGAAAAACAAAAAATTAAATAAAACAAAGAAGAAACTGGCTAAATTAGTAAACACTTGATATTATAATAAATTTAAAAAAAATGTGTATTTGTTATACAAAGAAATGTAAAAATGATATTATTTAACGTTGCAACTAGTGTTTGTTATAATAATAATTTATAAACAGGGTTGTATTATTTTATTTTATAAAACAAGACAACAAAACTAATAATGAAAAATTGTTCTTTAGTATTTACACAATTAAAAATTTAGATCCTGAAATATTATCAGATTATCTCTAAAGGACTAAGAACGATGATAATAATTATTTTAAATCGTGATTGTTATACAGGTTGTAGGCGTCAATAAAAAAAAAAGCTAAATATTCTTAAAAGTGGTAATGCTGGTTTTGTGGTTTGTCCGCTAAAAGCGCTAGGAGTGATTTGCACATAGCAATTCTCAGCGAAGACAGTTTGGCGGTCACATTATCAGGGCTCGTTGGGCAACCATATTATCTTAAATCGTGATCTACACTAGTAACGAATCGTTTTGGTAGAACCACAGTATATACTCTATATAAGACCGTGATTAGACCACGGTAACCTATGGTTGAAATTGAAAAAAAAACTATTTACTAGGGCTCATAATATTGTTTGTTAACAGCAGCTAATGCCTAATATTCAATACGTACAGGTACACCGCACCGCTAGGAACACTACAGAAAAAACAGATAGAAAGACATTACCTATATAAATATTATTATAGATTTATTATTAGTTCGTTTTCATTGTGACCGACGACCGTCAACTATTAACTTTAATCTACAACCGTGTCGTTAATCAATCTTATTTTGTGAAACGTGAGATCCGGCGATAAACGATTTTTTTCTTTAGCTGTAAAACTTATAAAAGCATCTCATATAAGCTAATATTATAATAGTGTAGTACTAAGCTATAACTTTAAAAGTACTTGTCTGATTTAGCTAGTTTTTACACCTAAAATTAAATTAAAAAATAATAAACACGATCATCAAAAAAAAATTGGGGGTTACCATTTAAAAATCTAAAGTTGATATGGTTTTAACGCATAAGGGATGGTGTTAAAATTTTGAAAAATACATTAAATTTGTCCCACCTAATAACTATAA